TTCAACATGGCAGCCTCCGTAGAGTTAATAACAGCCCATTCTAAGGTATCAAAAACACAACCATTCATATATTTAGGTTATTATATACTAAATTAAACATATCTATGAATATTGTATGTCATTTCTGCCAATAATAAAAGATCCTCCTAAGTGTTACACACTGGATCTTTAAATATTATTTTTAGGCATCCTATTATGTAGGAGTTTCACATTTTTTTGCACACCACCAAATGTGACATATTATTTTACCATTGTTATATAATTTTAGTTTGACTACATATGATCCAATTTACGTCATAAAAGCTTGTGTGAGACAGTAATGAGTCATATAATGTGTCATACAGTGCATAAAAATCATATAATGATCATATATTTTCACTGTTGTTATTTCAAGGTGAGTAATACAATATACAACATTTCGACTCACATCACATATGAGAGCAACTACTTGATAAATACAGCAGAAAGAGCTCGTTCTATCACATCTGATTCTAGACCATGCATCTCCAGAGATAACAGAGAAAGTCAGTGGATTCACAGAAGGGAGGGATGGGAGTCAGGGTGAGGTATAAGGGAAGGAGGGAGAGAGACAGCAGAGGAGACAGACCTCGACAAAAGTGAGAAGAGCATACAGATAGACTGGCAAGAAGGAGGAATGAGACAGGTGGAGAGAGGAGGGAGGGAGGAGGTGAGGGGAGGGGAGGGGGGTGAGGAAAGAAGTGGAAACAAGAGCGAGCTAAAGGGAGAGTGGGAGGGACACTCAGTTCTGAGAGATCGAAGAGAAACAGAGCGAGGAGGGAAGGGAAAGGGAGAGAGTGAGAGACGAATGGAGAGGAGGACAGAGGAGGAGGAGAAGGGAGGACAGAGAGAAGAAGAGGAGGAGGATGAAGGGAGAACTGAGAGGGGGAGGGAGGGAGGGAGCGGGAGGGATGTAGCAGTTGTTCATTAGTGAGGATGTGTTAGGGACTGGAGGACTGAGCGAGGGGAGAGACAGTGGAATGGTGAGTTTCATGGACACTGACTAATGAGAGGAGAGGAGGGAAGGAGGCGAGGGGAGAGAAGAGGAGGAGGTGGCAGGGGTGAAAATGAGATTGGAGAGGGAGGAAGAGGAAGGGGGAGGAAGAGGAGAAAAGAGAGGGGTGGGGGAAGTTGGAGGTGAGCGAAGCGAAACTGCTTTACTGTGTCACTCTAGGGGGAGGATGGGGGGAGGGGAAGGGAAGAATTTGCACGTACGCACACACACACACTGTTGAAATTGAAAGCAACATGAGAGGAAGACAACAAGACAGGGTGAGACAGAGAAGTAGCCAGAGAGAGAGAGAGACAGGAAGGAGGAAGAGGAGCAGGAGGAGGGGTGAGGAAGGAGATGAGGAGCAGTAAGGAGGGGAGGGAGGCAGGAAAGACAGAGGAGAGGAGTCATCACTGGAGAGAGAAAGTGAAGGGGGGGATGTGGAAGAGCAGAGGAGGGAAGGGGAAGTATTAAGGAAGGGAGGAGAGCGGAGGATGCAAAGGAAATGGATGGGGTGAAAAGAGGGAGGCAGAGGGAGGAAAAGAAAGAGGAGGAGGGAAGAGGAGAAACAAAAAAAACTGGCAGGGGGGCACAGACAGTGAGAAGAGAGAGGAAAGAGAGGGAGGGAGGAGGAGAATTAGGGCAGATATTCAGGAGGAGGGAGGAAGAGGGAGATGGGAGGAGGAGGAGGAGGAGGAGGAGGGAGAAAGTATTGGAGAAGGAGAAGAAAGAGGAGCAAACAGACAGAGTTTTAAAAAAAGAAGTGTAGGGAGAGGAATCCGAGAAATAGAGGAGGTGCAGGAAAGAGCAGGAAGCGGACCGTGCAGAGAAAAAGGGGGGTGACAAAAAGAAAAGAGAAATCTCGGAGACGGAGATGAGGTGGAAAAACGAGAGAACTGGGATGATGATGAAGAGGAGGTGGGGAAAAAGAGGAGGAGGTGGTGATGCCAAAGAGAGAGTAGAAAGAGAAGAAGCTGGAGGAGTATGTAACAGGCTGTTACATGTCAGCAGCAGGCACTTGTGAAGGCAGCAGCAGGTTCTGTGTGTGTGTGCGTGTGTGCGTGTGTGTGTGTGTGTGTGTGGGGTGTGTTATTGTGTTTATAGCCTGCATCAGGTGTGAGAACATCCCTTATTCTACACACACACACACACACACACACACACACACACGGAGGCACAACTCTAAATTGTTCGACATGTTAAATAAAAAAAAATAAGCAAAGTACACTGAGGCTATTTATCTGAGTCATTGTCAGTTCATGCACTAAGTCACGCACGCTCTTGAAGACATGTTCGCTCACACACATACACACACACACACACACATACACTAGGTTCAATTGTGCCCCACTCTCCTGCCCTTTTCTCCACCATGCATACATCAGTGCAAGTCTGGACAGCCTGCCTCAGCACAGAGATGCACAGCTGACAAATCCCTCCGCCGACACACTGGCAAGTAGTCCCTAATTTATGGGATTTTGATAGATGGCAGATTAAGAGTCTACAACAGCTACTGTTTCCACACAATACAACTGCGTCTTCTTTCTCCTTCTATTTAAACGAGATTAATAATAGTTAATAATCATAGTGTGAGTTAGCAGGTGGGCAGTTTTAAAAGATGAGTATCATGTTTTTGCCAAAGCCTTTCAGTACGACACGCCGGTAAAACACCACTCTAACGGGTCAAATTACATGTTCAGCAACACAGAAAACACACAATAAGAGTGGCTCTGTGGAGAGTTTTACAGGACTACTTTTCTTCAATCCAAACGGCTGGTTGGGGAGAGGCGAACGCATCGGGGCGGATGTCCACCTCCGTTTTCCCCGGGTGTTGTCCGGCTCCCCGGCTCACACTCACGGCTGCTTCCATCTCTCCGTGCAGCAGCAGCAGCAGCAGCAGCTCACTTCATTGTACTCACTGAGCTCATCAATTAGACAAGAAGTAAGACCTTTCAGATGCAATAATTGTCTTTAAGCACTTCGGAGAGGATTGTAAACCGCGGGCAGAGCTGCAGATAAGTTTTGAGAGCGGGGAAAGCGGAGAGGACCGAGACACAGGTACAGTGTGACTGTTATCTCGACTTCCAACTAGTAACGTTACTAATGTAACGCGAGGGGTACTAGCCCGCAAGCTAACCGGCTAACATTAGCATCCCGACGACTCAACTAGGTTTTGACTTCAGGTTGCACTTTGGGGGAAAGAGGGGGGAAATGTCGCCGGGTTTTTATTGCTCAGCCTCCAGAAATCACTTCTTACGTTCAAACTGCGACCGTCTGCAGCTAAACGTCCCGAAAAGAGACCGCCAACTTGAGTTTTAATAACGCAGAGAGCGAGTTTGTGCTGCTTGCTCCGGCGGCAGATAGGAGCGTTAGTAGTAGTAACAGCAGAGCCAGCGTGGGGAAAACAAAAGGACTTCAAAGTCTGACACACAGCACAGATGACTGCTCGGGAAAGCTGGGGAAATATTGATTTAGCGAGCAAACGTGGCTCAGATGAAGTCAGATAGAGTCCACCACCTCTTATTTTATAATGGAGTAACTTAATTTACACAAAAACAACAGATTATAAAGGGATACTTGAAAGAGGGAGACCCCATACTAATATCATTACTGCCATATAGCAGGGAAAAAGCCACTTTAAGGTCACTTTGAACTAAATCCTGAGATCCATGAGCACATTATGAGTCGCTTTATGAAGACTTATTCATCAGTATGAGTCAAAACGATGCATCATTTAGGAGAGTTGAACCAGCGTTTATGTTAAGATATAGATACATAGAACAAATCAAATCCCTTTTTATATACTTTACCTAAAACCTGTTCAGCAGTGTGTTGTATGGATTGGTTTTGTGAAGCATAATCGCATCAGGATTTAAAATGTTGGAAGTTAACGAGCAAAAAACAAAAAGTTCCTAGTGGTGGAGATGAATGACTGAGCACCAGAGCGACACCCATTACTACAAATAAGACTAAGTTGTTTATTTCTTATAAGAGTTAAGTAATCTGCCTGAGATCGAGGCTACCGTGGCAGTGTCCGAGGCTCCCACCACATAAAACTCTGAAAGTGAACCTTTTTTATTTTCTAGATGTAGCTTCAGCGACCCCCCCCCAAAACTTCAATCCACCGAGATATAGTGAAGTAGACACACGGCTGTGTAGGTCTGAAGGATGTGAGTTTCCAGTGAAGTTGGAGGGGACAGCTGTTGTAGTTTCGGGGGGCCACCGGGAGCTGCGATAGACAAAGACCCCCAGAGAGCCTCAGACATTTGTATTGTCTACCGGAGTTTGGTAGATGTGATTTAATCTCTCGGGTTGTAAGGATTGCCCCCCCCCTCCTCTCCGAAAGCACATCTGATCATATTTAATGTGCAGAATGAGGGGACACCTGCTTTGTTCGGGTCGTGGTTCAAGTTGCTGATGTGATGGTGACAGAGAAGCAAGTGTAAAGGCTCGTCGCTGTAATTGTTTTAATTGGTGTTTATAGTCCGATCAGTGTGTGATGTGGCTCTTTGTTTGTGATCACCTGTTTGTAACGGCTCTGTTTGTGTTTGGGGTGCGTTACTTTCCGCTGTGTCCTGAGCTGACCGTCTAGTCTTTTGTGCTCCTGGCCCCGAGTTACAGAGAGGGAGAGACCGAGGCTTGGCCACGCAGTGATACGGCACTGACTGATGTGGATGACACTTTAAACGAGAGGCCCTTCATGCAGGAGGGCCCTCGTGGCACGTTTTTCTTCTTCCCACGTCGTTTTCTTTTAAGATTCCGCCACTTGTTAGCTGTGCTGGATTTCTTTAGCGTGTGTGTGTGAAGGTTTGTGTGAGATGACTTGATTTTTGTGATGCATTGATGATTTTCATACTGCAGACTGGAAATGATGTCAGGCTAAAAATAGGACGTCACATTTTGGACATCTTAACAGTGACATTGAATATACAGACGGATATAAAACACAGGTCAGACCAGGCCAAAGCAACATAAACTAAAGTGACAGCTGCAATTAATGGTAATTATAATTATTGATAGTTTGTTGATTAATCTACACAATGTTAGAAAATAGTGAAAACAGCAAATATTCACATTTTAGATGCTGGAACTAGACATTTTCTGGCACTTTTGCCCGAAGAATTACTTAAACGATTAATTTATTATTATTATATTCTCGACTTGAAGCTTCAACTTTTTTGTGTCAACAGTTTAAGCTTCTCTGCTGTTCTAAGTGCTAAACGTAATACTCTGAATTGATATGTGAGAATGTTTCTTTGGGCAGAAAGTTATTTTCATTTTTGATTAATGTGCTGATTATGTTCTCAGTTTAATCTATTGTTTTATAAAATATAAGAAGAAACGATGGGCAGCCTATCTCTGAGGTGACATCTTCATAACATCTGCAAAACTGTAACATATTCAGTTTATTGTCACACAGAACAAAGAAAATAAGCAAATCTTCCTGGTTAAGGAGCTGAAAGAGAATATTTGACCATTTTACTTGATTAGTGGCTTTAGTCATTAATTGATTACAGTAATGGACTTGGCTGGTCTGACGGATCGATATCACAGATACTGACTTTCAACCATTTTACTGACCTTGTTAATATATCATTGGCCATAAATGTCACAGATCAACATAAAATGAAGTTTCTTTGACAGTGTCATGGTTTCTACTGTATGTTACATTCAGTCAGTCATGGCGAGCTGCCAACTCACTTCTTAGTGCCTCAGCAAAGACATTCTGTTACAGGTACGGGATCATTACGCACTGTACGGGCAGATCGTCTGAGTTGAGCTGTCACAATCCGTATTGGGAAAAGTCAAAAATAATTTGCCAATGATTTTTCGAGTAGTCGTTGGAGCTCGAGTGTTTCTTAAACAGTGGTTCTGGGACACTAAATAGCCCTCTGGTCTTTTTTATGGGTGGTGCCCCCACGACAGGAGCATGTTGTTGATGAGCCGGAGTAACAAAGGAAGACTTGAGTTAATCAGTTTGGGTCCTGTGATGAAGACTCTTGCGGTCAGTACTTGGCGGAAGAAGATCAGAACTTAAACTAAATCCAGCAATCAGTAAAAGATGTGTTTTAGCCAATAAATAGAGACCGTGTTAGGACATCTTCATCACCGTAGTCCCACTGAACTGACGACAGTGCAGGGTCCTTTGGGTTGGAGAGACACCGGGTTACTGAGTGTTAATGAGGGAGGCTCGTGGAGCGATAACCCAGAGTTGTTGAGTGTGAAGGAGTCGTCGTGCAGTAAACCAGCGCTCGGGAAATCAACTCAGCTTAAGGGAAAATAATGGGAGCGCTTCCAAGGTAGCAGCATTAAGGTGCTGTTCTACTTTACAAGAGAGAAAGAGGTTTTACAGGGTTTCACGTGAAAACAAATGGCTGCCAACTCACTAATGAACAGTTTTATGGGAGATTGAATCATACTTAAGACAGAGATGGTGTTTTGTTGATGCACAGTGGTGTGTAAGTGGGGAATTTTATTTTTAGGATCTCTCTGTGTGTGTTGTGTGTGTGTTGCAGCCATGCCCTCAGTGATGGAGCGCTCGGGGGCCGGGGTCCTGTCCAGGAGCAGAGCCAAGACCGTAACCAACGGCAACAGCCAGCCACACTCTGAAGAGGAGAGCAGCGATGAAGAGCACGCCCATGGTAGACACACACACACACAC